TCCCTTCAACCGTCTCCTGAGCACTTGTTCCTAAGGGGAAATGAATTTGTCTGGTATATGCACAGCCCATTGCTGTTCTTCTCGTTCCTTTTGCCTTTACGACCTTATCGGGGCATGTGGCGGAGCACAGCATTGATCTCGGGAAGAACCTGATGCAAGCTGCCTTCTAATAGTTAATAATTGTAACGCGGAGCTTAAGGAAAACATTAAGAGTAGATGAGTGCAGTTTTCTTACTTACACAGTGGCTTAAGTTTTTTGTGTGTTATTGGATAATACAATGCAATTGCAAATAAGCGAGGTATCTTGGTATGGCAGTGCCCGTAAAAACACAATGTAAGCACGGGGAAGAGACGAGAAGAAATCTTGCTGGGGAGGTGCTTAGTCGGTGGTAAACTTGGCAGCTCGAGGGTACAGCTCTGCTGGCAAGGGCGCAGGCGGAGAGGGAGACCGTGTGCATGCTCCTCATCCCACCGCCTCTTGCCTGCTGCCTTGCCTTGACCGACCACGTGATTGCTTTCATGACAGCTGCACTCAGCAAGAGAGCTGACAGCGTGGCTATGCGACGATGCAATGCTGGATGTGGGCTGAGACAAGCCCTGCCAGGTGAGGGAAGGTCGCCTTTCCAGGAAAGACAGGTAGCACGGCCTGGGGAGACACTGATCCCATGCTTGCCAATGCTCAGGGTGTTGGGGGGCAGCAAAGGGGAGGCGAGGACATGCAGGAAGAGGCCCCCAGGTCTGGGGGCTGCTCAGTGCCTGAGCCTGGTATAGATGGAGCAGAGAAGGCTTAAATTCAACGTCAGCAAAAACAGATGGGATAAGGTCTAACCTGAGAGCAAGAATTGCTTTACTACCCTCAGTGGGGTTGCTGGTGGACAAGAGAGATGCTGCAGGTCCACTGGCTGAGGAAGCTAAGTAGAAGGAGCACAGCCCTTGCGTAAGAGTCATGTTAGGTCCCTGGGCAGCCTTCGGCTAGCTCTAGCAACCACAAGGCAAAGGAGCCCACGCTGACCTGCGAGGACATCCTGTGTCCTGGGGCACGCAGTGGGTATTTGGCTGTTGCCTTTAACCAGTTGGCTCCTGGGGCACGTTGAGTTTCTGGATTGTACCGGGTCCATGCTCAGCTCTGGCTCTGGTGGTAAAGTCCAGCCAAGATCTGTGGGAAAGGCACGGCTGGCAAATCTCAGCTTTTGGGGACCTGTGGTGGAAAAAGTAGATGTAACGTCCCCCCCGTGACACAAACTGTGTATGGTTCAACTTATTCTCCACGTTTCCTTGCTTCTTTTGCCTTCTTTGCTTCACTCAGGGCTTGCTTCTTCCTTTCAGTAGGCTGCCCGCTCCTTCGGCAAAATGAAGTTCTTTCCTAAATGCACTCGACTCCTTCTTGGTTCCCTTTTGTTTTGACACTCAAGAGACGGCAGATTTATAGACCTTCCCGAGTCGTAAGTTCATTTTCTTTTATTATTTACCTTTCACTGCAGCCCAGTCTGAGTGAGATTTCATTCTGCCTCCGAGCAGGGCTGACCTGCCAAGAGGAGCTGATCCATAAATCTTTCCTTCCTTTTTCTTTCTTTCCAAAACAGAATTAGCTGAGTTTGCCTAGGAGGAAAACTGTTCTGCCATTGCCGGCAGTCAAACAGTGCAATTAATTAGTGCTTTCCCTTTTCTCTTCCCTCTAGTCTGTGTCTGCCGGGGTTGAAAGTAAGCCAGGGAGGAGGGGGAGGGGGAAAAAGAAGGGGAACAGATTTGTTTGAAGTATTTATTTTTAATTAAAACCTTTGCAACGCGATCTGTTGTAGCGGTGATGTACCTTTTGCGTCATATCTAGTGGTTATAAGAAGTTTAATGGAAATGTCCCAGCAGATGAGCGGAGCTGACTTCAGGTCGGTCTGACGAAAAGCAAGTGTTCCCAATTCCTGCTCACGTAGCTGCAGCCGGTGGGGTGAGGCCTGAGTCTTTGCTGCTTTGCCCCTTGTGTTCACACCTGGGGTAAGAGGGAGTAAAAGGCCGACACGCTGCAGATTTACGCCTGGGATATCGGCTTGTTTTGGCTAGTAAAAATTGACATTCCTGACTGAAACCTTCTGGAGAAAATGGGATGAATTCTCTGTCCTTCTTCTTGGTGTTACTGCTGAAAAGCAAAACAAGCGAGAAAAGAGAATCTTTGGCTACGTTAGACCGTGATACATTTCTAGGACAAATATTTTACATGTAATTAGGAGACAGGAGTCTGGGGTGCTTCTAGACCTGCGTGGCTTGAGTAAGCCAATTCATTTCAAGGTGGTGTGGTCAGTGCGTTGTGCAAGGGGCAGGCCTATTATTCCCTGTAGAGTGGCTGCCAACATGGCCTGATTTAAACAGCAAAGCAAAATGTTTTCAGATCCTTAGAAAACACTCTGCAGATCCGATGTCCTTTTTATTTTTAGCTCTCGGTTAGTTTTAGCAACTGAGTGGCCAGATGTTAGCTGTATGGAGTTGGACAGAAAAAAGAGCTTTCTTGCTGCTTGAAATGGAGACTATTCAAATGCTTAAAAAATAACTACAGGAAAGCTTCTGTTGCTGAAGCACTGCTCCCTCAGTTGTGCACGGTATGAAGTATGGATTATACTAATACTTCCCAAGTATCTGAGAAGTACTCAGCAGCAAAGTGAGCCCGAGACTACCCGAGACTTTGGGGTGATTAAGACTATTCTAATAGAGAAAACTGGGACGTTTCTGTATAAAACCACATAGTAAGAGACCGCTGTCCCTATGAAGAGCATTGAGACCTCCCGAGTCCTAAACCGCTGGTGGCTTCACCATTGGACTGTGCTGCCTCTTGATTGTTTTAGACGGAGACAACAAAACACTTGAGGTGTGTTGCTAGGGCAGCAAACTCATTCCTCGTTTTCTGGCTTATGTGGGCTGCTTTTTGGTTTTCAAGTGCAAAAGACCAGTGGGTCAGGATTGGAAAAGGTGCTCGGACAGCAACGCAGGACAGTATGCATTCAGCTGAAACTGTTCTGAAAGGCAGGTACGGAAAGGAAGAGCGCTTCGTTTCCATTCCTTCCCATTTTGGGAGACAGAGCATGTCACAACAGTGCTGAGCAGACAAGAGCTGCTTGCCAGCATTTAATTTGTTGAAGATTAAGAAATTACTCCATTCTTACAATACCATGTCAGTCTAGAAATACCTTTGAACTCTGGGGGATGTGAAATTTAGATCTAGCCTCAGATTTCGTAGTGTTTGGAAGCCAAGGCTTTATCAGGGTAAGAACTGTACGGATGGTTTAAGGGGAGTCATGTTAATAGTGTACCTGGAGACAATGGACTGGCTCAACTTCAGCTACCTTTGAACTTTGGGATAACTAGATCCAGAACAGGACACTGAACTTAGGCTTTTTTTCTTTGTGATCTGGAAGCTAGCTAGTGCAATGTAGAGGCTAGCTATTTCTGGTTTACTCTGTTTGCAAGGAGAGTTGGCTGCTAAAGCATTGCCCCCTTTCTGGCCAGCAACTTTTACCTGCAGCCTTGAACCCCACGTCTTTCTCTAAATGCTGTCCTTACTCTGTGCCCCAACCGTCCTGTGTCCTCATCAGGCTGAGGGCAGAAAGCTGAGAAGTCTTGTATACGGCTGGGCTTGAACATCAGCGGATGCTTTCATTATTTACGATGGTTTCTAAAAGCACTGTCGCAACTGGTGGTGTCAAACCATAAGCAAAGGCTTCTCTTATGAGCACAAATGATAAACAACTGTAAGACACTTGGTGTCAACAGCCTCACAAATCTGTTCACCACCTGGAGCTCGAAGCAACTCAGCAGTTGCAAACCACTACTTGCACAGAAGTAGAACAGCGGTTTCAGAAGTGCCGTAAGTAAATACATGTCCTGACGTGGGCACCAAAAATAAGCATGTGCTGAGCTTTTCTGAGCATTTGGCCAGGTCACAGCTGCTGGCCATTTTGGAAAATGTATCCTCTCATTCAGGTGCTCAGCACTTGAAAACGTGGACCTGAACAGCTCCAATGTCATCTGCTTCTGTAATAACCAACCACTGTTTTACGCTGCAAAAATAGCCAAGTTCTTGCTGCTGATCTCGGAAGGAGGAAAGCAGTTCTTTTACTCCTGATCCTACCTGATTATTAGAAAAATAGCCTGAAGAGACTTTCCTCTGTATGATGGAGGCAGATCTTAAGCTCTGGGACCATTGTAGCTAGCCTCCCCCCACCCCAAGCAGTTGCACGTGCTGCTACCATGCCATACGGGAAAGCAAATATCCCTGATTGCTCTGATATCAAATACCTTTTGCTGACCTCCCTTGAAGAGAGTTCCTTGTAAAAATGCTTTTGTCCGGAGGTTTCAGTCACTTGGAGCCTTGCAGGGGTTTCTGAGCTCTGGTGATTTATTACTCCTTAGCAACCTTGTGGTTTATGGAGAGCCCTGCTGGAAATATACAGGGGTACAAGGGTAAAAGTATCCGTTAACCAGTGATCTGGTGCCAAAAGCCACCCATGTGCAAGGGCAGGAATGGGGTTTCAGGCTATGAGATAAGGCTGGGAGAATGAACCTGCAGGGGAGCAGGAGCTGTGCGATGGGAAGGTTTGAACCAGGACCCCCTAACAGCAGGATAAAGGTGTGTAATAAGACCGGATCCGCTCCTTCATGGGGTGTAAGCTAGGGCATCCGTTTTCCGTCTCCTTATTCAGAGCAGGTTGGAAGTGGGATCCGTGAAGTCTCTTCTCCTAGAGCCTCTGTGAACGAGAGCAGTAATGCAGAAGAGCAGCAGCGCGGAAGGGCTCAGTCCCAGGACTGCTGCCAGATGCAGACCATCAACACACCTCATCGCTCACCCAGGAACATCTCTTACGGTGGAGGTGGCTTCGGGGTTCCTGCACAGGACTCTTGCGATGGAGGTGCCCTTCAAGAAGGGAAGAGGGGCTGATTCTTTTCGGCAAATTTGGCTGAAACAGAGGAAGTCGTCTGTTCCATTGGTGGGTCGGCACTGCTTTTGCTATCCCGCGATGGCAGAAACTAACTGTAGCGGGTACTGGCGAGGAGGATACAGACGGCGGGAGCAGGATCTGTTTTACCTTCTGTGTAGCTGGCTGGTGTCGGTGGGTGCGTAAATATCAGCGAGGGCAGAATTAGTAGTGTAAAGCAAAGGACAGCGCGCTCTATCCTAATTTATGATCTTTGGACAGCCACCCAGGGTGTAAATCAAGGCAGAATTTCTGCCAGGTTACTTGGTGATGCTGTAGATCAGCACGGTCTTCAGCTGAAAAAAATCCACAGAAAGAAAAGGCAGATAACGCTTTACACAAGCTAAAGCTTGGCTTAGCAATTCTGATCTCATCTCTCAAGTACTTCCTTGGTGGTTTAAGTGGCATAATTTAAATTTAATGGAAATATTTTGATTTTTAGTGTTGCAGAGATGTGGAGGAGAAAGCAAGGCTTAAGTCCCAGTCTGCCTAAACCCCAGTCTGTAGTCACAGTCTTGATTAAATCCCAGTCTGTTGGGATTTACAGTGTTTTGGCAATAGTTTTCCCAGCTTGCTTTGTAAGTGGCTGGATTTTGCACAACTTGCAGTGGTTGTAGAGAGAAGCGACGATCAACAAGCTGCGCGATTCTTTGATGTACCCTGTGCACTGCAGCTTACCTGGGTCCTGATTTATGCGATCACAACCCTTCACTCGGGGGAGGAGGGTAAGGAATACAGGTCATCAGCAGGCCAGGCTGGCAACTCCTTTCTTCCACTGTGACGACTTACTCACCGAAATAGACTCATTGAGGTCTATAGATCATTAGTGGTGATTCATATTAAGAGTTTCACAACCAGGCCTGCTGGTGTAATATGTTCCTTTTCACGGTACCATTTATCTAAAGATCTCAGAATACTTTGTGTACAGTAAACTTTTATCCGTTTTACCACCAGTGAAGTAGGTAAGAAGGGTTGTTTCCATTTTGCAAATGAGGTAAACTGAGGTACGGAGCAAGAAAGTGACTTGCCCAACCTTGTGCAGGTAGGTTGCAAAGTTGTAGAGTGCTGTCTTGCAACGAGTGTGCGTTTCCCATACGTGGCCCCATTTCCCTGCCCGAATTTTAAAGGAACATTTGATTTCCTGGGGCTAAGGCTGAGCAGAAATCTGTCTATAGCTGTAAATTCAGAAGGTCTGATGTGAATCAGAACTTCCTCTAGTGTTTGGGAATGTTTAGATTTGTCATCCCTGACTGGCCCTGACCTGAAAGGATTGGAGCAGAACTGTGTGGGTTTTTTTAGGGCTGGTATCAACTGGTTGGCATAAGATGTAGAGTTAAGAGTTGGTGAAAAACTCTGCTTCCAATCTATTCGTCCTCATCTGCCTGTATAGTCAACGGGGACAGCATAGACAGCGGAGGATGAAAGTGTGATTCATCTGACTCTTTCAGTTACCCACTAGAGGACGAGATGAATTGTGACTTAAACTCCATTGTCTGTCGCCTGTAAAGGCAGATTAGGTAACTATCTCAAGTGAAGCCTGTCCTAGTGTCCGTGGAGAAGCAGAGTTGCATGAATGGGGACAGATTTCATCGTTTGCCGAGTTTAATCTCTTGTGGTAATTAGACAGATGACTTCAGGTGTATATTGAAGCAGAGTTGCATGAATGGGGACAGATTTCATCGTTTGCCGAGTTTAATCTCTTGTGGTAATTAGACAGATGACTTCAGTGGTGTATATTGTAATAGCTCCTTTAAGAAAAAAAAAAAGGGCAATGGAAACGCAGGCTCTCGTTTCCCTGTGCTAGGGAAACGCACACCAAGACTCCCAGCCCAAGGAAAGCTAAACATGTGCAGTTTGGGAGAAGGAGCGGGTCCAGAGAGGGAAACTGACTTCCATGTGGTCATTTAACAAGTGAATGGCAGAGCCAGGGAAGGTGTTCCTCCCTCCGTACTCTCTCCAGTGCTCCCGTTACTTAACCATATTGCCACTGAACTGGCCTTTATCCACCTCTGCTTCCTTCTCTGCCAGGGTCCCCTTCTCTGAGGGCATATCCTCTCATCTCCGTCATCACCAGGCAGCCCTCCGTGGTCCCTCACCTCATCCCAGCTGCCACCAGCTCCCGTGTGCTGCCAGCCCAGCCCTCCTCGGGGACTGCGAGCTCAGAGGCACCTGCCAGTGAGACCCATGCCAGCAGCGAGTCGGAGGCAGAGCAGCCCGCACCTCGGTTAAAAAAGCCACGCCGGAGTAGGACCATCTTCACGGAGCTCCAGCTGATGGGCTTGGAGAAGAAATTCCAGAAGCAGAAGTATCTGTCTACCCCTGACAGGTAGGTCAGTCTCTTACACTAGGAAAAGGAATGAGCGAAAGGGCTGCTCTAGCCCTACTCAGCTGATCCTACACTGAACACTCCCTGGCTGTAGTGTGCTGCCTTCTAGCTCCACTGGGATGCCTCTGCCACTGGCTAAGGACATGGGCAGATGACCAGATTCAATTTCAAGACTAACTTTTCCTGGGATCAAAGGTGACATGAATAGATTGTATCGATGGAAGTGCCACATGGTGAGATACGTGCTTTCTAGCAGGCATCCGGGCTCAGAGATAGGCGAGGTACAGAGCAGAAGGCTCTCTGTCTTTCCCATTCCTGCTGCACACTTGAAAAAAAGGTGGAGCCTGTCCCCTCCTGGGATCTGGTGGCGGATGGCTGTCTCTCCATGGCAGCTGAGAGGTTGGCTGTAGCTTCAGCTGGCTGCTGAACTAGCTTTCATCTGGCAAACTTGGGTAGCAATTCAACGAGAAGGTGGTGGCCTGTCCATCAGCTTGAAAACAGAAGGTTGCACAGAGTTGAAGGCTACCTTGCCCCTGTGAAGGCACAGGCAAGTACCTTGTCTTTGTGAAGGAAAAGGCAAGTTCTTAGGGACTACTTGGTACCAAATGGACAAATTAAACGAAGGAGAGGTTTTATCTTTTTTTAAAGGTTTTGAATCCTACTCTGCAAATTTAGATTACAGGAAAAAGACCTGTCCAATCCCTATTAAGTTTGTAAACCTAGCGAGGGTTTGAAAGGTACACCAGACCTTGAACTCCACAGATGGCAGTGTCCCAATATTTAAATTGGTTTTGAAGATCAGCATTCTCCGCTCATACTGCCTGTCACCAAAGCCAAGGATCGCAGCTAGACCAAATTTCATGGGCACGGCCAGGCTGTCTCATACCGTTTCAGAGTTCCTAATGCTCCCGTACTGACTCCTCACAGCTTCACATAACCAGATGGCTGACACGGTTGATGAAGCACTTGAGGCTGTTAATTAATTTTATGGTATGACTGTTCCTTGGCTTTGTACATGTTTGAGGCTGATGAGCAATTCCTGTCCGTGTACCACTTCCCCTCTGTTTGTTTCCTCAGGTTTCTAGGCAATGCTGGTTACGCTAACGTGTGTGGCAAGAGATGGTTGCAGGTAATCAAAGTGTGATAAGACATGTGCAGTAAGGCAAGAGTTAGTCAGGCAGTGTTTCTCTCTGTCAGCTCATGGCTGGAAACGTGATGGTGAAGCAGTGGGTTGCATTCACTCCTGCAGCTTTTGGCCTGGACACAAGATTGTACCGCTTGGAGGGCAACTGAAGCACCTGGTTTATTAGTAGTAAGGGAGTGCAGTACAACGGGATAATGCCTCTGCTAGATTCTGCTTCTCAAATAACAGCGATAGTATCTTTAAGTCAATGGGATGTCTCGCAGACGTTATGTAGTGGCATAGGCAGCCGGCAAACCCAAGCCTGTAGGTCTACGAGTGAAGCTGAAGCGGGGGAAAAGCATGAATCCATGAGTGTGCGTTTGAGCACAGAGGGCTGGTGTGCGGTACGTAGGTGTTTGTAAATGTAAGAGTGAGTCCGACTGCCCTAGGAGCCCAGCTGAAACAAAAGTTTTATTATGAAAAACTTGGCCTTGACAAATGTGTTTCCCCATCCAAGGGCGGGGAAATATTTTCCAAAAAGTTCACGCAATCCAGAACACCTTGGAAGGTGACTCTGAGTTGGAGCTGTCCCACCTGCAGGACTCGTGTGACTCTGTGGGGCACTTGCCCAGCGTTGTTGAGGATTTCCAACTCCGTCCGTTGTGCAGCTCCATTACGACACTGCCAGATGCATGGCGCTGTCACCTGTGGGGAAGGATAAAGAGTTACTCTGAGCTGCATTTGCTTCTTATCCTGGGTTTTAATATGGAAATAATGAATGGTTTCAGATGAACTTGCACAGGTTGGAGATTTGTGGAGGATGAATCAGGATTACGGGCTGTCTGCCACATATACCCTTAAGCTAAACACGCAAATAATGAATTCATTTATAAGCCTAAATTGCCTATAATAGCAGAATGTGTAAGAAATTAATAGATTTAGATGTACTACTACTCCGTGAGAAATGAAAAAGTATTATTATCCCCATTATGTAGGTAGTGAAGAAGAAATACGGTACAAAGAGCAGCACTTTCAAAGGCAGACTGATGCTGGGTGTCTTGGTTCTTAGGTGTTTGCTTCCAGACTCCATAGACCTGTTTTTCAGGGATGCGGTGTACCAGTAGCTCCCTGCTTCGCGTACAAACGTGGAGCGTCAGCGGTTGGAGTACAGCAGGCTTGTGTTTCAAAGAGGGCAGGCAGACTTCTGCAAGTTCTAGGCTTGCTCGTTTGTCCAGCGGTCACAGAGGAGAAAAGAGAACAGAGAGCCTGCAAACACCTAAATATTCTTGCTTCTTCCATAAGAGCATCTATCTTTACATCCTAAATTCACAGGACAAATTCACATTTGTCTGACCTTTTCTCAAACCAACAGATTAGAGTGACGAGCAGCCATCTCTTCTGGCGGTCCCACTGTTGTATGCTCTTACACTGTCGGGTTGGCTGCACCTGGCATCTGAGCTCTTCTCCTCCTCCGTGAACTCATTTCAATGTCTGTCTTGTCTCCCAGGCTTGACTTAGCCCAGTCGTTGGGGCTGACTCAGCTCCAGGTGAAGACGTGGTACCAGAACCGTAGGATGAAGTGGAAGAAAATGGTAAGTGGTTCGTTACCGTTTCTCCACGGTCCTTAAAAACGGATTGCAGAAGAACAGATTTGGAAGCTGAGCATAGTGTCAGTGACCCTGTGTCTATTTGTGCCAAATCTTGTTTTATTCTTGATCACTTTCCTTAGAAACATACTTTTTTTTTTTAAAGAAGTTTATACTGTGACATGGGTGGTGGGCTAGAGGGACCATAGGCAGTAGGAAGCATACAAGGCAAAGGGATGAAAGAAATTAGAACAGAACAGAGGGAAGAACCAAAATATCTCCCTCTGCATTTTTGGCGTTCCTGTGATCTTAATGCTTGTGGGATTGGTTATATGCATGGGCAAAAAAGATTGTATTGCTCCATGGAAACCAATGCAGTTTTGAGAGCTAATACCATTAATTCTTGCTTTTCATATCTTCCTTTCACTTATTCTCAGCTTCATGGCCCTTTTCCAGTTAAAATGCTTTTAGAAAGGACAACTGTCCGATAAATCCTGGTGAGAACCATGATGCTGTGACATTCTCCAGTGGAGATGTTTATGTATTCTGATCTGGGAGAGGAGATGCAGTTCTAGGCTGTATCTTTGAACGTATGTGACAGCTGCAGAAGTTACTGCCACTTAAACAAATTTGGGATTAGCTTGGAGACAGATCTTTGGTTGGAAGTGTCTTGTTGCTGCAGTGATGGTGTGAAGGGAGAGGGAATTAAACGTAGGAACAGACCTATTTTGCTGACTCCCACTTTTTACGGAGATGAGAGGGGTCTCGCGTTTTAATGCGGGTGTTACAAAAAAAATAATAAAGGCTATTTCAGAAGCCAAAGGGGCTGGAGGAAAGGCAGTCAGAGGAAATCCTGTATAAGGTTTATGACTGTTCTTACTTGGGCTTTGAATAAAGCATAATAAATACTACAAATAAACACTCAGGAAAGGAACTGAATTCTGCATAAAATCTTCTCTGTCTGTAGTGTTGAGGACTGTGTGCATAGGTTGCTTTTGGGCCTCCTGTAGGAACTGACTTAGACACCTCCGGAGTTTTGGGTCTCCTTGCTGGTAATGTTTGCATTTCATTTTATTTATATGAGAGAACGGTGAGCTCGCTCTGTGAATGCAGGGCATTTCTATGAGGCTGAAATGGTGACCAAGTCATGGATTAACTTTGAGGTCAAAGCCGAGTTTCGTCCCTCTCTAACGGGTGTCTCACAGCAGTGGAGTTCAGGTTGATCCTGACGGTTCATCTCTTTGCTCCAGGTGCTGAAGGGTGGACAGGAGGCTCCAACAAAGCCCAAAGGCCGTCCAAAGAAAAACTCCATACCCACCTCGGAGGAGATCGAAGCAGAAGAGAAAATGAACAGCCAGGCTCAGAGTCAGGAGCTGGAGGGATCTCAAGCCGCCGAGGAGCCTAAATTGACAGAGGAGAAGCCAGAAGTCTCTTTGGAGACAGAGAAGTCTCCAGAACATATACCAGAGCCCTCCTCAGAGGAGACTACGCCATTAAGTTAAAAGGGAAAGCAAGGAGGGAGAGGGGAAAAAAGAAAAGCAAAAAAAGATAAAAGAGAAAAAGCAAAACCAAATATATATATATGTATATATATATTTAAATATGTATGTAATTGTGTGTGTGTACATATATATATAAATATATATATATATATGTAGACCTTGTGTAAAAGTCTAAAGATTGGTCACTTTGTGCCTTTGGGAGTCAGCCATCATGGGCCACGGTGGAACAAAGACATCCCGTGTGAGTGGCGACGACCCGTCCCTCCGGCGGTGTGCGTAAGCCTTCCCACAGCTAGTGACGGAGGCCTGAACGTGTTTCCAGAGAAAACCGCGTCTAGGAACCTGAGACAGCTCATGGCAAGTACAGGAGAAGTCCAGGGCTCCTTTCATGCTGCAGGAGGCAAATGTGTAGTGATATGACTGCGTTGGAGGGTTCAGTGTGTTCGCTTGACTTTACCCTTGCCTTTTAAAGTAGTGCAAATGGACGGAGTACTTGGTCTGGTCTCAGATCAGGGACAGCTAAGAAATGGGGAGCTCTGATAGCACCATTTCATCGTGTAACCAGCACTTATTTCTGTTAGGGATGGGCCCAACTTAAACAGTTTTAGGAAGGAGTTCAGACCCGTTTGCTTTGGCTTTAAACAGTTTTAGGAAGGAGTTCAGACCCATACGTTTGCTTTGGCCCAGTGTAAAGGTCAAAGCTTCCGAAGCGAGATTCATACCCGGGTCAGCATTCAGATTTCGTCTCTCTTGGTTGTTTGGGTGCCGTGTCTGTGAATTTGCAGTGATCCAGGATAAAACTTCGAATGAGATGAGGGTTTGGATTTGAGTCTGCTCCAAAAGCTTTGGGATGCGTGGATCTGGGATTTTTGCTTTGGGCCTACTTCTAATTTTTGTAGGGTTTTTTTTAAAGAACATTTAAATGTTTTCAGGGGTTTGGGAGAACGATGGATTTAAGAAGTTGCTGCAGAAAGTTCGCGTTTGTTTAAGATGTGTGCCAAGAATAGATGTGCATCATGTTTCATAAAGTCTTGTTAAGGGTGCATTTTGCCCGAAGGCTGCAAGAGATGTATTAAGATAACCTTTATTTTTTAATTAAAAATTAAATATATAAATAAAACAGTTGTTGTTGTTTCTCTTTCAGAATGCTAGACAGAGACTTTTCTGGGCTAGGTTTTTCTATTCTAACAAACCCTGGAGAAAATGGGAGTCATCAGACTTTCCGTAACACTACTGTGCAGCAAGCACTGTGCAAACTTCCTTGTAGCACCTTGCTAAGGTAGGTGAGGGGTGTTGTTAATGCCACCTTGTCGCTGGGTGCAGATGAATGTGTCGGAATGAGAGCACTGGCGTTCTAGCTATTTTCTGTCACCTCCCCTCCTGCCGTTATGTCTGGACATCCAATAAATGGGTCTTTGTGACCCTGTGAAGATGATTTCTTAATATCCCTTTTTTGGGGTGGTGGTAACGATTCACACACATAGACCTCAAGTGACTTATCCAGGGAGTGCTGAGTGGGGAAGGAAGGATTTCTTTTTTCCCCTGTTTCTTGCTCAATGGTGTTTGGAGGACTTAAATTCCACCTCCGCATTAGCTCTGCAATGGCACATGCATCTTCATCGGGTAATACTTACATGGCGAAACTCCAGCTGACTTCAGCGAAGCCAGGGTGGGACATTGCTCCACTCACCGTGTATTGCTGAGTACTTAATACACAGTAATCAACTTTGAAAAGGCATCTACAGGTTTGCACCTAAACCTAAAAAAAAATATTCACCAAAGTTGGGCAATGCTCGTTTGCAAGAAACTTTGAAAATCCCAGGCATTTGATGCCATTTAGCTCTTTTTTTTTATGGCACAGAGAGATGGAAATGGGATAAAAGATTTCCCTCTTGCCTGTTGCGTTGAAAACGCAGGCTGTGAGCTACAAAGTCTTTCCTCTGCCATTAAAATGCGTCAAAATTTGTTTGTCTTTGAACCATTGTTCTTTCCACAGAGCCCTGATGTACTCATGACAGGCACGGTGAGAGGCAAGGGTGGCGGGGCAGGATTTTGGCGCTTGTCTGGAGTTACGATACAGTGTGTTGTTGCACATTCTTTATCTGTGGATGTCTTTTTTTCTTCTTCTTTTTCTTTCCAGAGCTGTGCTTTAGCTCAACCGTATCTATTGGACTTGAAATGGCATTTAATTTAAAAAAGGCCTATGGCCTGTTTATACAGGAATTAGATTAGATGGTCTATGAAATAAATAATTGTCCCCTATTGTTCTTGGATAGTAGCATCAGCACTGTTATCTCAAAATAAAGTGTTTCCACAAGTCTTAAATGCGGTAGTACTCGGTGAGGGTGAAGGGAGCAATTTACTGGGAATAATTTGTCTAATGAGTTTCACCATCAGATTGCAAAAAAAGTCTGCAAGAGTCTCTAGTAGGTTGATTTGGAAGCCTGAATAGTTCACTAAATCAAATTTTCTGTGCAGGTCATTCCAGAAACGTAAAAAGCTGACCGTCAGGGAAGGCGTCAAAGATATTTTAGCTTCTCTGAGTTAAAAGTGGAAGTATCTTCTAGTGAATCTTTCAAAAAATGTTCAGAGGTGTACTTTAAACTTAGCACTTGGGAATTTCAGTATCTAGCCTTTCTTTCAACCAAACTGTGTTCCATAAAATGGATAATGCATGTAGGGTTTGGGGGGGGGGTGTTTGCATTTGGCACCCAGTGGATTTCTCTAATTTGAGGAATTTTTCTAGATTTACGTGGCGGGGGGGGAATAAAAGTAGAAACAGGGAAAAAAAAATTAGCTTCTTGCCCTGAAGTAGGAAGCGGTGTGTGTGGTGTTTCTGTGCTGTCCAATGAAACAGATAAATACGAAAACCCCAAGTTTCAAAAAATTTTAAAGATACGTTTCTAAATCACAAAGCAAAGCAAAGTTGGTCATTTTCCAGCAAAGAGTAAAGTTTTACAAAATGACATTTCCCACTTCCCAGATGAAAATAATTGTTTCTGACTCAACCCCACTTTGCAGTGGGAACAGTTCCACCCAGATGAAAATAATTGTTCAACCCTCAACCCCACTTTGCAGTGGGAACAGTTCCAGCGAGATTTTTTTTTTTTTTTTTTTTTTTTTTTAATCCCATTTTAACCATTATGAGTTTTTAATGAGTCCATAAGACATTGAAGATGTTTTTGTTCCTCTTTTGGATGAATAGCAATCTTAGCAATGTATTTTTCAATGTGATTATTTAAGTGCAAAATGAGCTCTTGAAATGCTGTCTGATACTTCCTCACACCGACTTACTTTCACTGACTTTCCTGATAATCTCTCAAATGTTCATGGAAAGCACGTTCAGAATGCGTGTGTTTGGATGGAAAGAAAACAGCAGGGGAGAAATGGTAAAACCACTGAATTATTTCTTGGCTAAATCTTTTCATACTTCTTGTCTGTTCCGTGTTACATCTGCAGCTGGAGAAAAACATCTACAAATTCTAGTAGAATTGAACACACTGATCCCAGCCATTGTTGGTAGGCAAGCGCTCCTTTTCCTCTTGTTTTAAGATTTTCCTCCCTTGGGCTTATTTTTGGTCTTGTCACCGAAATGCAAAGAATTGAGCCACTCTTCCCCTTTGCTTTGGGGCTGAGCCGAGACAGGCTTCAAGGCTGGGATGGAGAAAGCCTGGCTGGTCGAGTTTGGCCTTTAAAGGGGGCTGTGGTGTCTTCTGCAGGGACACCCAGCTCTTGTGGATGTGAGTTGTATTTGCTTCATGCTCCCGAGACCCAGAAATAACGTTACAAGTCTCGCTTTAGGCACGCTCGTGCAGAAGTGCAGCCAACGTGGACTGCTCTCTGCGGTCGGTATCGAGGAAGTCTGCACAAAAAGGCTTCGTCTTTATCAATAGACTGACAGCGAAGGGCTTTCCAAGTGCCTTTGCACTGGTCCTGAAGGTAGTTTTATTTTTTAAGAGGCTATTGATTGTTCTGCCTCCTGGGCACCAAGGTCCCCTGTCCCAGGACTGCTTGTCACTCATCGGAGGAGTCCCATCGGAGACACGTGCCCTTGGGGTTGAACCTTGCAGGTGTTCGGGGGTGTTCGGCTTCCAGTTCTGACAGCAAGGAACAAGCCCCGATGTCGAAATCCGAACTCCCCTACAGGGCTGGAAAGTGCTCATATCCGGAGTTCTGGCTGGGACCCACCTTTTATTGTACCCACTGTTTAGATAATTTTGCAAAGCACTGAGCTCATCCTGCAAGATGGTAAGTTCCCCCAGGTCCCAGCAAGGATGAATGGGCTTTCGTCCTGTTTTGCAAGGGGAAAGAAAAAAAAAAAAATGTATTCGTTTAACTTCAGGCCAGTACAAGGAAATTTGGTGTTTGGGTGGGTTTTCAGTTCCCCCTTCTCTCCGTCATCTTTTTTCAGAAGCAAAATGGGAAAGGGCAGTAAGAAAAAAATGAGTGAAAATAGAGGGCAGAAAGAGGAGGTGAAAGAAAAAGCCGAAGCTAAGCTTAGCTGTATCAAACTACACAAAAAATTCAGAAGCAAAATGGGAAAGGGCAGTAAGAAAAAAATGAGTGAAAATAGAGGGCAGAAAGAGGAGGTGAAAGAAAAAGCCGAAGCTGAAAAGCTTAGCTGTATCAAACTCCACAAAAAATAAAAACCAGGGGGAAAAATAATCATGTGGAAAAGTCAACTTTTGTTTTGGTAAATTTTGACAGATGAGGAAAGCTCTGGTCCTGTAAAGACAGAGATTTTTCTGGAGTTTAACTATACATGCAAGGATGGTGAATGACAAGTTTTTCCTAAGTTTCCTCTTATGCTATAGAAGTTAAAACGTAGCTGAGTAAAGAACAGTTGGATTAGACTTAGGCTACAATACAGGATTTGGGCCCAAATATGTGTCTTGGCAAAGGCAGAGGTTTGGTGAAGCCTAGGTCCCGTGGAATCTTAGACGCTGGGCATGAACATCCTGTACGAAACTCGCTCCTCGTTCTTCCCAAGGTCTGGTACCGCCAGGTAGGATTTATCAGGTTTT